TGTTAGTGTTCAGCATTTGTGTAGTGTTCGTTGCTTTCCTGAACACTTTGGTTTTTGGTCTACCACAATCTTGGCGGCTTACGAGGACATCCATTAAGGGAAGCTGGTTGTTCTCTTCATCCTCCATCGTAAATTGTACGCCCGGAAAGATACTGCTGAGACGTTCTTTGAACGTTAGCACCTGATCCTGTTCGATACTGACGAAGGTATCGTCCATATACCGAGCCCAGAATTTCGGTCTGTGGTGTTGGAAGACCAACGATTCTAACCGTTGTAGGACCACCTCGGCCATGAATCCCGAAATCGGCGAACCCACCGGTGGGCACCTCACCTGCTCGCAAATTGTTCCGTCGAACTTTACATAACCAATAAACTCTCACTTTTCCGCTAAACGTCTTCAAACAATATTTTTATTTAAAGGTTTTAGCAACCAAATAATACATACTCAGTCGTTATGGGCAATCGGTTAAAAACGCTAAAACTCATGAAGTATTAAACGGTCTGAAAGTCAACGTAATCCAGGACAAATGAAAAGTATGAATTAATATCTCGGGAGGAAAGTTCTCGTTGTGTGCACAAGGTGGTATGCTTTCGATTAGGCCTGCCAATTCTACTTAAATTCCTTACTCACCGACCGGCCTCTCAACATGTGTCCTAATGAAAACTTTATTCGCATGGCGCTACTATCGGCTAAACAAAACAAAAATTCTGTTTGACTTATTTAACCGTATCGCAATCAATGCAAAAGCACAATAAATACAAAGAATACTCAGAAAATCGTATTGAAGTCTATGCTCAGAATGTAGGGTGTTGGCAAACCGTGCCACCTGAAATTACACCTATTTTCAAAAGACATTTAAATGTCAACTCCAGTAACAGGTTATTTTTAGAAGCTGCTCTATTTGCGCTGTCATATTTACGCAGTGTTTTTCATAGACAAGCTATCTGAACATACAACACTGCTTTTAGTGCCTTGACGTTTTCAGGATTTTTTCACTTTTCTAAAACGAAATGGGCATTCCTTAACGAGTTATAGCTACATTTAATAGTTCCCTTGTGTTTTTACTTACTTAAAGTTGTTTTTTTTAAATAATATAGATATTTTCCCCATGCATTTGTGTCGGTTTGCTAGTGAATCGCGATCGTTCATAAACTGCGACACCTTCTGCAATCAATCTGTTTTGCATGCAACTGTTGCTAGTCCCTTTCAAAAACTGCTCCTTGAACACGCCAACATAATCAACCCTCCGTTGCTCGGCGGCGAGATTCAACATGATGTTGTACACCATATCCACATCTCAGGTCCCCAGTGTTTCCTCGGCCTAGACGACGAGCACCGGCCCGTTTTCAGGCCGCAAAGGCGGAGTTTGAACAAATGCTTTAAATGGGATTCATTCGACCGCCTGGGAGTCTTTGGGCCTCCCACCTGCACATAGTGCCCAAGGCAACATCAGGCGAGTGGAGACCCTGTGGCGACTATCGTGCCCTCAACAATGCCACGATTCCTGATCGGTAACCTGTGCCTCATCTTCAGGATTTTACTGGAGCCCGTTTCAGCAAAGCGGTTTTCTCGAGGACTGACCTGGTGCGCGCCTTTCATCAGATTCCTGTAGCTCCTCATTTTATCCCCAAAATCGCCATCATTTCACCCTCCAACCTCTTTGAATTTATTCGCATGTCCTTCGGTCTTCGTATTGCCGTCCAAACATTTCAAAGGTTCATTGACCATGTTTTACCTGGCCTACCGTTTGTGTACGCCTACATCGCTAACCTCTTGGTAGCCACCCGGAATGCCGAAGAACGTTAAACGCACCTTGCCTTGGTATTAGACCGCCTCGACAAGTATGGCGTCGTCATCAACCGCTCAGAGTGTGTTGCTGGTCTGCCCTCTTCTGAATTCCTTGAGCATCATGTTGGATCAGAATGTTTGAGGTCGAAGCCATTCGTGATTTTCCTCCACACCCTCCCAGCGTCAGCAGCAAAGTTTTCTCGACAAGGTCAACTTTTAACCCTGGTTCCTACCGAACTGTCCCGAATTCATGCTACCGCTCGCCAGCATGCTTTCTGGTCCAAAAGGTCCCCTTGAGTTTATTGGTGACTCACTGACTGCTTTTGAGAGAATCAAAGCCTCCATTGCTGACTCTACCTTGCTCACGCATTCTGCTACCGAAACCTCCCTGTATCTCGTGGTTGACGCTCCAATCGTTACCGAAAGGAGCAGTCTTCCAAAAACACCTGACAGGTTCCACACGACCGTTGGCTATCTCTTCTAAGAAGCTGTCGCCTGCTGAGACGAGATATAGTACCTTTAGCTGTAAACTCCTTGCTATTCATCTGGCTGTGAAACATTTCCAACATTTCCTTTGAGGTCGTGGCCTTACCATTTTCACGGACCATAGGCCACCTACATATTATATGCATGCAAATTCAGACAAATGCAGCCCTTGAGAGATCGTCCATTTCGACTGCATTTCCCAATTTACCACCGACATCCGCCGCATTGAGGGCACGAAGAATGAGGTGGCTGACATGGTGTCCTGACCGTCCTTATCAGCGTTTCTTCTCCCTCATGGACTTGATCTCGGCACCGTGGCGGCCGATCAACGACAAGTCTATTGATCTAACGACGAGTCCGTTAGTGATCTTCAACTTGCAGACATGGGTACCGGCACAATCCTATGTAATGTGCCGGCTACTTGCTATCGCCCTTTTATGCCCGACTCGATATGTCGGGCTGTTTTCCAAATTCTTCATAATCCCCCCCACCCTGGGTATTCGAGGCTCACAAAAAGCCTCTTTCCGAAAGGTTCGTCTGGCCTGGCATAAACAAGGACGTCAAAGCCTGAGCACAGTTGTGCCTGAGTTGCCGGCGGAACAAGGCGCAACGTCTCACCAGGCATATTTCCCAACCCCGACGCACGGTTCAGCCATGTGCATTTGGAAGTCGTAGACGCCTTGCTTTCATCCTATGGCTACCCTCACCTTAACTACTTTGATTGGTACATCCGTTTGGCTGAAGCCATCCCTTTTGCCGAATTTACAGGCTGAACCCATCACGAAGGCCTTCGTCAGGCTTTCGAACGTTATTTTCCGTGCCCCATCCCCGATTTCGGCTGAACGTGGTGCTCACATTCAGTCTCTTTCATTCCAAACCCTCCTCAATGTTCTAGGTCGCCCGCACGTCCCGACGGCAGCCCACCACCGACGGTATGGTTGGGTGTTCGTCCATCTCCGCTATCCCATGCTCCTTCACCTTCCCTACTCCTTCTCCTTCCTCTCGCATACCCTCTTTCCCACCGTCCCTCATATTTCCTCTCCATACATGTCTCCAGCGCCCAAAAATCTAATCTTTTTCCACAGCAGTACGCACTCAATCCTCTTTAACTGTACTTCCTGCTTTTATCGCTCACAGTGGTCGTCGCGTCCATTCCCCTGGTCGTTTGGTTACGCACTTCTTCTACACTTATGCATATCCTGCGGAGTCATTTTACGTCACCCTCCGGTCTTAGAAGGGGGCACTGTGGCGAGGTGCCAGCCTGATTCACGTTTGCCAATCTCCTCCCGTTTTCTTTTAGCGAATAGCTGGATTGCTCTGCTGTCAGGCACTACTAGATTAAAATATGTGCAAAAGGTCAGTACCGTAGTCATTTATGTGTTTTGCCGAGGTACCAGACCAATTCACGTTTGACAATCCCCTCCCGTTTTCTTTCACTGTACTGCGGGTTTTAACAACGGTAGGGTGGAGGGTGCCAATTGGCTGTTGGTAGGCTGCTTATCGTGTTTTATTGTATATACTTACAGAATCTAATTAAGTCCTGATGACTGACAGTGGTACCCAGGAACGGAGAAACGAACATTTTAAGGCGACGGACATAATGCTGCGGGAAAACATCGATTTCGCTGGCGTATACCACTCTCATGTCATTTGACGTGTTAAATATTCATCTTATTCAGGAACCGGTTTTACTTACTGCTTTTCTTTCATAGGGCTTGTGAGATATCGTTCGTTAATTCGTGAGAAATATTTCATTTACTTCCAGGTTACCCACTGCAGGCATCGTTGGTGCAGTCTGAAGCCCATCGTAGAACAGGTTTCACAAGCTAACTACGTGGGCCACAATTCTACCCCATCACACACTAGTCTCTGGAATCAAAAAATGACAACCATGTTGGGCGATGGCCTTCAACTTCTCTCTCTCACGTCAGTGTTTGCGACTCGACGCGTGTGTGCGTCACTCGCTTCCAAGACTTGAAAGCAGCATTTACGTAGGACTGTTTTCTAGATTAGAGCAGATTGCTGCTTCTCTGAGAGCTTTTTCCAAATCCGAATAGGGCCATAATATTTAAATACCCCTGTTGCGAACCAAACACACTAGCACAGGGACAAAATGGTGATCGCGGTGTCGCTAAACCCCGCATTCCAGGTTCCTAAGAGGTGCGGAATGGAGAAGGGTTTCAAATGTTCCACTGGATGACTGGCCATACGTGAGACATAACCTGCCTGCTACTATCACAGCAGATTCTTCCCTACTTAGTGTTTAAGGCCCGCGCACCCATACAAACTTTCGATCTCCGCGCTCTCGCGCTACCATTTGAACGCCGACCTGTGCACGATCAATACTCACCCTGTCATTCAAACACAGCACACACTCTGCGATGACGAACGCTCAGCGGCTCTCCGATCTCTGCGCACAGATGCTACTGATTAACGTCTGCGCGATATTTCTTCTTGATTTATTCTCCAACCCCCTCAAAAGTGTTGCCTTACATTTCTTAATCAACCTGTCACCCGGTAAGTGCTTTTCTTAACGTTATTCATGCAACTTCGGTAATCTTTTCCTTCCCTATACGCCTTAGTGTATTTGCCTATATTCTCTGGTTCTATAAATGTAGGCAGTCTATGTAATTTAATGCGTGTCTGTGCAAAAGGAGATGTTGCTTAACAAATCCGGCAGTCTATTCAAAAATTCTGATCGATTTTTTCATTTGACGCTTTGACAATGGAGAGCAGCTCCAGCTCTTCGAAACGTCAGCCAGAAAAGTCCCCCAATCCGGTGAGTAATTCATTTTCCTCAAATCCAACACAGTTCTTCCATTGCAGATGTTGTTTTTGCCTCGATTTCAATATACATTCTGACTGCATGCGTGTTGCACCTCTCCAATCATTGCTGGAAACCGGCAATACACGCGATTTTACATTTTGCACAATTGCCTCCGCCGACTTCCAGTGCAGGCGATATTTCCAGAAGGTTAGTGCATTATGTTCAATGCGCATTTGTTTCAATCCTACTGACATCCAACAGACATTGTTGATGTTCGAAAGACTTCTTCTATTTGTCTACTTTCAGACCAGCCGTTAGGGAGTTAACCGGAAAATCGGCTAATGATGGCGAAGAGGTAGGGAGAACGCCCATCTTAGTTGGCTGCGAAACACAAGAATCTACTGAAGTTGGGGCTCCGGGAAAGGAAAATGCGGTATTTCAGTGTACCGTCAGAGAGCCGGAACAAAGTAAGCGCATCTTTGACTTGCATTCAGCATTACCAAACTCGCCTAGTTTGGCTCAACACTGTCTTCTTTTTTTTTCTCCACAAGGCAGCGTCGAGGGATGTCCACTATCAGTTGCTAGAAAGATAGCCATAAGGCCAACCCTCTACACCATCGAAGAGGTATCCGAGGAGGAGGTAAGGGCGGAGGAGCTCAACTGGGACGACAGTTATGACAAGAAGGACGATGAGGAGAACGGGCTGGATGAAGCAGCGCTGTTTCCACATCCAAATGCCGAAAACAACGACACTGCACAGAAGCCACCACTGGTAGACACAAATGTGCCCTTGGAGAGGACGAGCTTGCAAGAGGAACACAGCTCTGCATCAGTCGCTGAGTAAACTGTATGGCAGCCAACGTGCCCTGATACCGCAGCCAAGAGACGTCAGCGTCGCAACTGGAAGGCAGTCACCCAGCTGCCACGTAAGCTCATGACTGCATCGCTACCATCCAAATGCCATTAATGCACTATTCCAATGCTCCTTTCATTTATCTCATCTGCACTCTACCTTCGTACGTTCCTCTCACCAATGTCAACCATTTTAGAATCGAACATGCTTTTGGATCGGAAACGGCCAAACCGCATTGGAAATGCGACTGCGTCGCATTTGGAGGAGGTTTGTCTGCTGCGGATTGTCGCAGGTGGAGGCATAATGCGTCATTGATTTCAGTCCTGTGTACATAGCCCAAATCGTCTATTGCCATACTGTTTCTGCAAATGAAATCTATTGTTGTTACATTCTTACTACGTTTTTTCTGGCACTGAAGGCATCCGGTAACGGACAGTGGTGGAGAGTCGAAATTGGGACACAGTGAGCTGTGCCTGAAGTAGTTTATAGGGGCAGTAGACTTGCACAGCAACCATCGCACACTCTCCTCACTACATGAGCCTGGTACCAAGCCATAGTGAAGGAGGTCGAAGGCGGGAGAGGGTGCAGATGGCTGGCACGGCCGGATGTGCACTTGGGAGTACCTCCACACCGCCTGGTCCACAACAAACACTTCACTAGTATTTGATCCTGTAAAATAAATTGTTCGGAACGTAAGACAGCAGACAATGAGCAGGCAGCTTCGAGAAATGTACACCTTCAATGGCTAGAAAGTTGGCCGTCAGGCCAGACCTCTGTACAATCGAAGAGGTCTCTTAAGAGGAGGAGGAGAAGGCTGAAGAATTGAGCCTGGATGAGGGTATAAAGAGATCGAGATGGAGGGTGGTGGGAACAGTTTCACGTTTATCCCAAATCAGTGCACCGAAGACAACGACACCGTGCATAAACATGCACTGCCGGACACAAATTTTGCATCGTCATGCCTATAGTTCTTCTTCCATCACTCTTGCAATCTGTCGGCAAACAGCGTTCTGCAAATCGCGAAATTCCTTCATCGGAATTCCAGTACAGACTTCCACAAGTTCAGTGCTTCGTGTGCAAGACTCTGCAAAGGCCTGTGTTTTCAATCATATTAACGTCTGACAAATATTGCGGATGTTTGAACGACTTTTGATTTCTTGTCTACAGACATGCAGTAAGTCTGTCAACCGAATATTCGGCCACTGGTGGAGAAGCGGTAATGAGAATGTCTGCATTATGTAACCGCGAAAAACGAGGACCGGCGTCAGCTGTGGGGACAACGGAAAAGAACTCGCCATGGTAGAGCGGAGTTGAATAGATGAAAGGCAGTAAGTGAATCTCCGACTTCCATTCAGCAATGCCCAACCCGTCCAGTTTGGCTCAATGTTGTCTTCTTTTCTTCTTAGACAACAGGCAACACTGTTGAATATGCATCTCCAATGGCTAGAAAGGTGGCCGTCAGGCCAGACCTCTACACTATTGAAGAGGTTTCTGAAGAGGAGAAGAAAGCGACAGAATTAAGCTTTGATGAGATTTTTGAAGACAGCGAGATGGAGAGTGAACCGAACAATTTCACGCCGATCCTAAAGCGCTGTACCGAAGACAAGGGCACCGTGTGTAAAGAAACCCTGCCGGACACAAATGTGCTCCTGGAGAGGACGTGGTCGCATTTGAAGAGAGGGAGCAATCAGTCACCGAGGGAACTGTATGGCGGCCAAAATATCCTGCGACTGCGGCCAGAAGACGACAACGACGCCGTTGGAAGGAAGTCAGTCAGCTATCATGTAAGCCTACAATTGTCTCACTGCTATGAAGAGGCCATTAATGGACGATTCTAATCCTTCTGTTGTTGTTATTTGGACTGGTATTTTTTCATTCGTTTCACCAATGTAAATCATTTTAGAACCAAGCATGGTGTTGGATCAGAAGCGACCGAGTCGCATTGGAAGACTGCGTCGCATCTGGAGGAGGTTCGTCTGCTGTGGGTCGTTGCAGGAGGAGGTATGATATAGAAGTGATTTGATCCTGTAAATAGCCCAACTCTTCTCATCTGATTCCGAATTTTTGTATCTATGTTGACTACCGTTTTTTCGAATGAAATTTGTTGTTGCATTCATACTACGTGGCACTGAGGGCATCCGTTAACGGGCAGTTGTGGAGGGGGAAATTTGGATCGTGCTAATTGTCACATCATTCTTGAGTCCACTTTGGCGGAGGAGCTCAGCTGGGACGACATTTATGTTTCCACACCAAAATGACGAAAATAACGGCACTGCACAGAAGCGACGACTGCCGGACACAAATGTTCTCACAGAGAGGACAAGCTTGCAAGTGGAACACAACAGTGCATCAGTCGCTGAGTTAACGGTATGGCAGCCGACGTGCCCTGATACCGCGGCCAAGAGACGTCAGCGTCGCAACTGGAAGGAAGTAAGTTAGCTACCACGTAAGCTCATGACTGCATCCAGATGCCATTGATGCCCTATTCTAATGCTTCTTCCACTTTTGTCATCTGCACTCCAATTTCCAAGGATCTTGTCACCAATGTCAGCCACTTTAGAATCTAACATGCTTTTGGATCAGAAACAGTCGAATCGCATTGGAAGACGACTGCGTCACATGTGGAGGAGGTTCGTCTGTTGTGGGTCGTTTCGTGTGGAGGCATAATACATCATTTATTTGACTCTGTATATAGCTCAACTTTTCTTATCTGACTGCCTATTTTTGTTCTTTGTAAACGCGGGACTTGTGGCGGGGAGAACTCCTAATGCGTTAAGAGGAGCTGCGCATTCCCGCCGTCGTTATGGCATAATCAGTCTCGGTGGGCCGACGAGATAGAGTACAGTTCGGGTGGATTAGTCATCGCCTTCTCCATCGCTCCAGAAAAGGTCCCTATGCAAGGTCAAACAAGGTGCTGTTTTATGGGGGCTTCCTTTTTTATTCCTCTGCCATTGAGCCTGTTTGCATAAACCCGAGCGTATGTAGTCTGTCGGCATTTGGCAGCGTTGCGCCGGAATTCTTGCTCTGCCTCCACCAGTGTGTCTAACATTTTTTAATCAACCTGTCACCTGGTACGTGCCTTTATTAACGTCGTTCATGCAACTCGAGAGGTTTTTTCATTCACTGTACATCTTAGTGTAGTTGCTCATGCTTTCTAACTCCATAAATGTAGGCAGCCTACGAAATTTATCGTTTAGTCTGCGCAGAAGCATATGTTGCTTTACAAATCCAACTCACTTCTCCCACTGCAGATATTGTTCTTGTCTCGATGCCAACACTGACTTTGATTGTTGCCTTGTCGTTCGTAGGGTTCCTCTCCAATGACCGCTGTAAAATGTCGACACACATACAGCCTCAAATCTTTCAATTTCTTCTTTGGAATTCCTGTACGAAGAACGTCTCCAGAATGTTATTCTGCCATTTATAAGGGCTAAAAACGGCAAATGTTTTTCAATCATATTAAAGCCTGAGTAAACTTGCTGATTTTTGATCGACTTCTTCCAACTTCCTCCCTATAGACATGCAGATACGGCCTTAACCGTACACTTCGCAACTGATGGTGACATGTTATTGACAACGCCCACAGTATTCTCTTCTTCTTCTTCCTATCAAACAGTTCCTGAAACTCAAATCTTCGCTTTTATAAACAATTACACTGTCCAGAAACAAGCACAGCCGGACACAGACATGTCCCCGAAGAGGACGTGCTCGGACGTGGATGACAACGGAAAGCCAGTCGCTGAGATGGCAATACGGCAGCCGACTCGCACCGACACTGCGGCCAGAAGACTTCAGCGTCGCAATTGGGATGTAGTCAGCCAGCTACCACGTAAGTCCATGATTGCATCACTGCCACGAAGACTGCTATTCTTTTGTTGTCATTTGCACTCCAAATTCTTATCATCCAAAACTGCCAAGAATTTAAAAATAAAACACACTCTTGTCTCAGTAGTGGGCGAGTTGCATCGAATGGACACTGTGTCGCATGTGGACAAGGTTCGTCTGCTGCGGATCGTTGCAGGTGGAGGGATGAGATGTCATTAATCTGATCCTGTACATAGCCCACCTCTTCTCATCTGCTTGTGCATGTTCGTACCTATCCTGATTACTGTTCGTTTAAATGATGAACAACGTTGAATTCTTTGACACTGAGAAGCATATGTCAAGGTAAGGTGAGAAATTCAAATGCCCGGTAACCTGCATATTCTTACTGTCATTGTGACATAATCAGCCTCGGTGAGCCGAAGTAAAGAAGACACATTTGGGTGGACTCAGTATCATCCCCGTCGTCTCCTCGGAAAAGTTCTTTATGCAAGACCGAGCGGGGCTGGGCCAGTGTGCATCACATTACAGAAGCCAGGGCGTACGTAGACCATCGGACGTGGGGACGATTGCGCCGTAATCTTCCCACTCCCTCCGAAAGAACGCTTCATTATACTCCGTTTGTATTAACCCAGCAGCAAACGTACACCAGTGAACGAGTACTGTGGCCGTTGGAGTCCTGAGACCTTTCGATAGCTGTTCTTCGGGTGCCCTACCCGATATAAATATTTCATTTTCGGCTGCCTAAAACACCAATGGATTGTCAGAGTACATTTTTAACATGCATTTCCGTCGATCGAACTTCGGGAAGTCTGTAAAATCAGTGTTTTGTAATGCATTATTGAAATGCTATCATCTTGATAGTTTGGAGTTAGAATCCCATGACACAAATGGCATTTTCTACTAAGTATCAGCAGTGTTGTCGATGAAACTGAGCGCATTCCTTTTTGTAACATGTGATATTAAGGATGTCATATGCAGTCACGTGCTTTGCTGTCGCTTTTATCCATTCTCTCACAGATTCTCTGGAACGACACTTTAGCAAGTATCGAATAGTGGTGGAATTTATGTAGTCATGACTACGCATTTGCGAGACGATGTAACAATAAAAACGTCAAAATCATTATTGGTAAGGACAATACTTGCGGCACTGTTGATTCATTGTAAAT